CCCCTTGTCCCCTTGTCCCCCTGTCCCCCTGTCCCCCTTGTCCCCTTATCCCCTTGTCCCCCTTGTCTCCCTCACCGTACTCCCCTTCTCTCTAGCTCCCCCTCCACAGAAATGCTTCAAGCCTCTAAAAGCCTCACCTTTGCTATTAGTATTAGCTTTCTTGGATGTAACGATCTGTAGCATATCAAACTGAGCAAGTTCAGCTGCGAACACCTCGATAGCCTTGGAGCCTCGATTGTTCCAATTGTAGATAACATCGTCCACAGTGTATGCATCTGCAATAACAAAGTTGGAGCTATCACTGAAATTCTTATCATTAACGAACAAAACTGGCCGAAGAGGATAACAAGTATCACCAGCAGGAGGAGAAGGCGATGAACCATAAAGGCTTAAAGGGGATAGATTTCAAAAGAAACTGTGGTGCTGCACCGGTGGCAAGTAAAACACGATAATTTGGTTTTATCGACCAAGTTGATAAAGTAATTGGCCAGTGCAAAGCGTGTCTAAAGCTGACGTTTCGAGCATTAGCTATTCGTCAGAGCGTCACCAGTACGGTGGTCTGTTTGAAAATACCTCATTATTATAAGTTTTTGAACAGTTCTTCCCGAAGCAATCTGCTATTATGCTTACATTCCAAAAAAGTGGCTGAAGGTCGCTCTCACCATAAGAAGATCTAATCAGGTTAAATTTTTTTTGTACCGTATGTGTTGTTCTTGAACTGTTACTGTTTAGCACTGTTTAGTACGTAGTTCATTTCACTCGCACCTCACCGCAATTTAAAAGTGCGTTAAACTGAAAAGTTTACTAATTTCTGAACGCTGTGCCGATGAGAACGTGTATTTTAAAGTCTATATACTTACAGCTCTCTATTACTAAATCACAGTTCTGAGTGTCCAGAGGGAACAGCCTTAGATCCATATCACACAGAGCAGTGAGAGTTATCCTGATAGAAGGAGCAAGTGACGAATCAACTTTCATCCTTTTTCTTGGGTGGGCTGCGGGTGGGCTTATTACTATAAGCAGCTGGTAGCTCTGTGGTAGTTTCATTTAGGGGTTCAGAAATTCCAAAAGTACCTTAACCCTTTAACTCCCATAAGTGACCAAGATGGTATTTCTCCTCACAATATCCATACAATATCAAGCAGACGATTGATGAGAATAACAATAAATATAAATTTGGGGATTTATTAGTAGATACAACACAAATTCTCCGAACCAACATCTTAAGAGTTGTATGGCAGACAACAAGGAGATCTTACCTTACCCCACCCCCCTCCCCTCAACCCAAATGTATTAGAGAAAAAAGATATTTTAGGGAAAAGTGATGTGCAATGGTAAAATGACAACTGGTATGCCTCTAATTGCCGGATGGGCGCTGATGTAAGACACCAATACAAGAAAATGTGGTCTACGCCCTTGTTACTCTACGTTGAATCACTGATTTACCTGGCACTGTAATAAATGCTTCCATCCTTAGAAATCCTCAGTCGCATGTTATCTCTACTGACTGAATGATAATTTGAATTTTTTACGTTTCGGAAATACGTGTCGGGCGTCCATATTCCTTTTCCCAGTTTACTAGGATCTAATGCGGCGTTAAAAACTTTATCTTGTCCATGCGCCAATCGAGGATCTTTCCACCACTGTCTGAAGAATATGTCGATTGTATAGTCCTTATTAAAGTGAAAGATGACATAATTGTTAAATAATTGTGCTATGAATGAAGCCCATAAATGCTACCTTACATAGCTATAAACAAAACAAGGATATTTTTTGACTTTCATCTTCCCAAAACTTTTCCACTAATTTGTTCATAACTGGAGCAGGAGGATGGTGGATGCCGATCCAACTTTCCTTTCTGTATACAAGCGAGCATATAACGGGTTACCAAAATACCAGTTCGTCCTGTTTCTGGCAGACTTACTCATGAAAAGCTGTGATGCCTTAATGGCACTGAAGCTCTTTCTAGATTCGTTCTCTTTCGCTCTCACGTGGTACTGATTACTAGAGAAATTGAATCGCAGTGAAATTTCTTTCAACTTACCATATCTTCTTCTCTGATTTTTCCAAATGCCATTAGTTTAAACTCGATAAGAACTTCAACAGGAGGTCCTACAAAATAAATGGTCCGATGATGACTGTGTTTAAATTTGTTGTGTCTCTTTGACCCCTACGAGTGACGAGCATCTAATTTATCCGTCGAATATCACTCCAGAAGCACACGTTAAGGTCACGAGAATTAAGGAGATGATCACGCGCCAACTAAAGCAGCTCTTGCCGGATTTTTCAACAAATTCCCCCTTGTCAGCACCAACAGCAACACAAACCGTATGGAGAATATACATGCTGACGATAGAATGTAACGGGTTTAAGGATTTTGAAACGACCCCTGACACTTGTGTGGCAAGCTTTGAGGTTTCTAGACAAAAGGAAACGAAAGTACTGAAGAATCTGAAAATTCGTGGACCTTAAACAACTGACAAATGCGCAGGCACGAAATACTAAAATTGCATGTAATATGATAACTGCTGAACCGCTCGTAACGTTAAGAAAATAAGTCAAATATATCAACAAAAATATATATATATATTCCAACAAGTCTCACCCGTGTCGTTTGGGCGAACATGTTTATCGTAATGTTTCAGTCGTTTGCCGATAATATGAGATACTTTAGCGTACGATCCGTCGGGAAACTGGGCTGCTATTCAAAGGAATGAAAAGATGTCGTTATAATCATTTTACGAGCTGTAATTAGCTGATGAAAAAGGATGCAGTCCAACTAAAACATCCTCAAAGATGTCGGTTTGCCCACAAGGCTCTGTAAATTCCTATCATCCCTCTCTATTAGCCGTTAACTGACATACAATTTTCAATGGCCTCACTTAAGACGACT